GTTTAATTAATAACATGTCTGAATTATATGACATGCTAATTGTTACTTTTTTATCAAGTTACACCCAGAAGATATACTACGTACGAGTTCCCTGCACGCCATGATGTGAATGTTTGAGCTCATAAGCCACACCTCGGTACTCGTACTTCAGTCTGGCTTATGAGATATCAAAACGAGACACATTAATGTCAACAATATAACATAGAGTCATATGATATCCTCAAGTTATATATAGAGGATAATTCATGTGTCGAGTGAAATATCTTGCTTCTCTAATCGAGTGTCTCCTTTTCCCCCGTCACGAGATGATAGAGATTGACGAGTTAAATGTGAAATTTACATTTTATAACAGTTTAAAGAGAATGACAAAAGGCATTAAGCAATATTATCTCCATAAATGAACATCTGCAATTATTTTGCCTTGTCAATGTGGAACTAAATAAAAAGGAAGCCAACAGTCTGTGTACGGGCCAGACACTTACGACAAAGGGAAACAATTTAAGGGGAGGTCACTCTTGTATGACAATAGTTCCGTGTTTGTTTACTGCAGTGAAATATCAACTGTGATGTTCACTGCATGTTCTTATTTCTCAACTTCGGAAAACTTTCACACTGAAGTATACAATAAACCCAAGAGATTATTTAACCAGGTCAATTGTACAAACATTAACATCAATCAATTCATACTTTATTACACCCGTAAGTAGAACTGAAGGTTAAGATTTCCTCACAAGTAGATTCCATTAAAGTCAAGCATTTGAGGCATCCAGCGTTCAACCGACACAGAATCGGTAGGATGAACACTCAAAGTTTAGCAACAACAATGTGATAATCCCAAAAGGTAACATTAGGATTAATGTGACTGGTGTGGTAGCTTGACTTATCTATATGAAGGAGGAAAAGATAATGGAGGCTCAAATATGCATTAAGAAAACACATTTCCATGAATTCCACGCTTTTGTGAGCTGAGTTGAAAACCTATCACTATCATTTTGACACTTAAGATAGTCAAGCTCGGCTGATTAAAGAATATTGCGTATAGAATTACTTCAACGACAAGGCACATCCCAAATCGTAATAACATACCCTACTGTAATACGATGGCTTCAATGTTCGAGGGATGTGTCAAGTAAATGTCTATTCTCCTCTCTGGGTTCGAGAGGTCCATTTGGTCAGGCCACGGGAGCTCTTACTAAGTGAACACGACAGGTGTATAATACTGTCATGTTGGACGTCTGTTGGGGGTCATGGAGACATGGAGACGGTTTATGTTCGAGGTCTGGTTTAGTTTTGTGAAAGAGTCGAGAGATTTGAGACGCGACAAAAGCATCCTCACCTTCAGTGGATATACAGAGTCTGCTCGGAGAGCGTACACTGTAAAAAAGTTTTTTAGATCCTAAACACAAACCAAAACACGTTCCTTGTCCCATAATTTTGACGTGTTTAGGATTGTGTTTAACAGCTAAACGTGTTTGGGTCTAAGTGTGGTAAGACCCGAATACCGCATTGATACCTTGATGCGTATACCGTCATTGTAGGTAATTTAAAAAAGGGGCGTTTCCATGGATTTTATAGCTTTTAGTTGGGATACAGAAGTACGGGGGCGGCAAAACGGTTAAGGTCGTAGTGATCAGGTATACGTTCCTTGTCAGCTTCCGTTTCCTGTATGAGAGAAATACCATAAGTCATACAGCAATAACATATTTATGAACACAGACCGCCTCCGTGGTCTAGTGGTAGAGCGTCCGCCCGGAGAGCGGAGGTTCCGGGGTTCGATCCCCGGCCGCGTCATACCAAAAGAGGTTAAAAGATGGTACTTGTTGTTACCCTGTCTGGCGCTCGGCATTAAGGGGCTAAAACAAGGACTGGTCGGCTCGGAGTCAGTATACTGTGTCTGAGTGGGATATTCATGTTAAACTGCGGCATGGTATCTCAGTGTGCTAGCACTATAAATCGGCATCAGTCCGGACTAGTACAAGCAGCCACACAAACACACACACACGTACATGCACGTCGCTATATAAGAGCAATAATCTTGGACGCGACGTTAAACCCCATTTTACCTCACCTATTTATGAACACAACACCTTTTAAGCCTCGACGGGATACGAACCTGAAACCTCTTGAGTTGTAGCCCTTCACGTTACCACCTGTGCTACGGAGACTGGTGTCGTCATCCTATCCAAATTTGACTTATTTTCTAATGATATGTACTTTAAATTCTAAAGATGTTTGAACGTGTTTAAATTCTAAATATATTTCGACATGTTTAAATTCTAAATGTTGTTTGGGATGTTGTTTTTTAGGTGGAGTTTAGGCTGTGATACGACAGGTCATTTGGTGCGTCTGAACGTGTTTAGATAGAACACACCAAATGTGGATGTCGTTTTGGATTTAAACACAGTCCTTAACATGTTTAGATCTAAACATGTCTTGTATGTGTTAACATTCTAAACATAAATTTTACAGTGTAAGGACGGTGGTCACAATCATACCAAAAGACGTTAAAAGATGGTTCTTGTTGTTTCGGCGCCCGGCATTAAGGGGCTAAAACAACTGGTAGGCTCGGAGTCAGTAGACTGTGTCTGAGTGGGGTATCGATGTTAAAACTGCGGCATATATATCTCAGTGTGCTAAGCACTATAAAACCGGCTTTAGTGGGGAGTTGTACAAGCAGTCACACACGCGCATGCGGGTCGCTACACAAGTCCAATAATCGCGAAGGCGACGTTAACCCCCATTTCTCCTCACATCACCTATATTTAGCAGGAGTTTTGTCCCTCAATCTCAATCAAGAAGCTTTTTACGTGTAATTACTGACTCAAAGAACATTTACCACACTGCGATCCCTTACAATGCTATGGAAAGGAAAAGACTTTTCTTTTCATTTTATTTTTCAATGTAAAAGTTAAGATATAATCAGCAGTTTAAATATCTTTAAAGCAAAAAAAAAACACATAATAAAAATAAGTGGAGACGGAGGGATAGCGACACAATATACCAGCGGTACATGTAATGGTCGGACGCATAAGCTTATTTGTACCCGAATACGAACTGAGTGCGTTACACCATAGGTGACAGGGGCGGGTTATTTAACAAAAATAAGCTGAAATTGTGTAATGTTGTTCCGTGTCCAATTACGTGCTAAGTGGGTCGCCAAACCGGTTTCGATTGTTAAAAATATTACAAATTATTCAGATTTGGCAACTAGGCTTGTCCCATTCTCTCCTGAATGAATAGCTGAAAGTGAAAGTGTGGTTTAAGCGTCGTCCTTCGTTCTTACATAGCTGTAAAAAAGCGGACCGCGAGAACATCCATATAATTAATTGAACCCGACCCGTGTGCCTGACAAGCGAACACAGTACCCACTGACCCCACCCCACCACCACCACCCCACCCACCCCACCACCACTCCCACCCCTCTTCTCATCTGAGCACAACCTTATAATATTTCAATTGAAACCTTTCTTAGAAATTCATGGGTTAATCCATGTTTTTAATATCTCGTTATATGTCACGGCGTCATTATAAGTGTTAAGCTATTTAGAATCATGCCCGCCGTGATATTGCTGGAATATTGCTGAAAGCGGCGCAAAACCATACTCACCCACTAGAATCATGCATATAGTATATTCATGTCTTGAACATTCGCCCTGAATAGGTTAAGTCTACATTATCATTATTAGTATATAAGACTTTTGTTTTTGTGCACTTGCTAAACACGTATGGTCGCTAACCCTGGTTTTGTTTTACCAAGTTATATGGACCACAGTTTCATTCAATCAAATATGCATTGCATACTGGGTGCATATAATTACATGTATACAGCTGACGCCTTTATAAGTTAAGTAGGTTAGACAGGGAGGTGTAGTATGACCCTACGTGTCTCTCTGAGATGTCCTGCCTAGCAACCCAGGCTCACAATAGTTTGACAAATAACAGGCGTCTGTACAAGCCCCATGTCTGATGATAAGTATCGGTGTGGACAGATGCAGATCAAAGCCTCGTGTCTGCTGAACGTGCATTAGAACATCCCGCGCTTGTTTACATTCGGTTGATGAAGGTGGGGATCTAGAGGATTAGATGTCGTGACTAAGATGCAGTCTACAGAAGCCCAAGATCACGTCTCTCGCGGCGGTGAGAACTCGACTCTGTCACCGTCAAAAGACGGAGTTATATCTCTGAGTGATTTTGGTGTCAAACTGTCAGGTAGCTCGCGTTTAACATTCACAAATAATAGGCCCGGTAAGTTGGCTTCAAAACATTTTCAATTACATACTCACTCTGTAATACAATGTGTACCATTTGTATAAACAAACTTGGTATTACTTCGTTATTAAAAAGACACACGTATACCTGGATCAGTATTTGGGAAAATATTATTTTGATGACCTATTGACGTTTTTCTTATTTAAACTTTAACTCTAAATATAAATACCTGATATTTATACAGGACTAATGTGAAAGAAGTAATAAATACTATATAATAAATACAAAGTATACTGATATAATCTTGACTAATGCATGTACACAAACAGCCTGCGTTAAAAGCTATAGGCAAGTCAGTTTACAGGACACTGTATTTGGGAAAATATTATTTTGATGCCCTATTGACGTTTTTCTTATTTAAACTTTAACTTAAATACCCGCTATTTATACAGGACTAATGTGAAAGAAGTAATAAATAATACATAATAAATACAAAGTTTACTGATATAATCTTGACTAATCCATATACACAAAATAGCCTGCGTTAAAAGCTATAGGCAAGTCAGTTTACAGGACACTGTATTTGGGAAAATATTATTTTGATGCCCTATTGACGTTTTTCTTATTTAAACTTTAACTTAAATACCCGCTATTTATACAGGACTAATGTGAAAGAAGTAATAAATAATACATAATAAATACAAAGTTTACTGATATAATCTTGACTAATCCATATACACAAAATAGCCTGCGTTAAAAGCTATAGGAAAGTCAGTTTACAGGACACTTACCTGTAGCGTAGAGCAACACAACCGCCCTCAGCTGGGCTCTCCCCATGCCTTTCATCGCTGAATGCTTACCGCATCTACATCCCTATATGTGGCTGTTCCACAATATTGTTGATGTGCGCACGTGATCTAATTGGCTCCGATGGGTTCATAATACGTTAATATCACCTTGACATGACTCTCAGTCGTACACGTGGGCTTGTAAATGGTAGAAAGCGGCGTTACAGCCTAATGTCACCGCTGAGCTCAGGCTGTGGGTTTTGTGAAGGGTAAAACATGCGTGGCGGAGTGTATGATGAATGCCTCCTGTAGCTACAGTAGAGGGTATGGGACGGGCGCTTTGCTTGAAGTGGCTATGTTAAGTGAACACTTCATGTATTACCCGGCAATATGCTTATTGGTTTTTTTCTAAATGGAGAAGCATTGGTTTTTTTAAATTTTGTTTGAGCCTCAACTTCACAAACATGTTGCTCCTGTATGTTGGACATATTGTGGCGAGTCACGGTTCAAGAAAGAAATGTAAGCGAAAAAAATGAAGTGAAAATGTATGGCAACAAAATGACTAATCATTTTAAATCACAGGGATGACGCCGGGTGTTCGTCGCCACATCTACCCATGCCGTTACAGGTTATGAACGTGCCACTGACTTTAAAATCCCGTGAAGATCCGGGTTAGAATTGGTCTTCAGCAAAACGTGCTTGTCGTAAGAGGTGACGAACGGGATCAGGTGGTCAGGCTTGCTGACTTGGTTGATGCATGTCATCGTATCGCAAATGCGTAGATCGATGCTCATGATATCGATCACTGGATTGTCTGATCAAGCCTCGATTATTTACAGTCCGCCGTCGGGGGCACGGGTGGCCCAGTCGTCTAAGGTGCCGCGATCCACAGTTGCGTCCCTTGGGCACGCCAGAAACCTATGATTGTGGGTTCGAATCCCGGTTCGCCCCGATTATGTTTCTAGGTATACCCGTATTCACCATACCCGTGCTCGTGGGTTTCATCGAAGTGGTAAACGTCTGGGACCTGCGTCACTTCGGGCTTTCGTCCAAAATTAAGCTGACACGCCGTGATATCACTGGAATACTGTTAAAAGCGGCGTTAAACCCAACTCACTCACTCACTACAGTCCGCCGTCAGATAAGAAAGAGGGCTTAAGGATGTCAACTTTTTTGTCATGAGTAACACAACGTTTTGGAGTATATGCTTACTCCTTCATCAGGTGTATATAGGTGGAATATTGCTGAGTGTGGTGTTAAACAATAAACAAACAAACAAACTTACCCGAGGTACCTTTCTGTATACACAAATATATCCTAGCATGACAACCCGAATACACACTTTTAGGGCCTAAACACATGAAATGAACTATCGTCACATAGCCAAAACGACACCTAAACACAAGAAATTTAAACGTGTTAAAAATCTAAACATGTTTAAATTTAAACTCGTTAAAATATGCTTTAAAATGTTTAAATTCATAACATGTATAAACTTTAACCACGTTTAAATTGTAAAAATGCCTGACCGTGTGTAAAATCTAAACAAGTTCAAAACTTTGAACATGTATAATAGCTCAACACATTTTAACGTGTTTAAATTAAAGCATGTTTAGAAGTTAAACACGTTTAAACATGTTTAGATTACAGGGATGTTGTGCTTAGGTGGTGTTATGGCTGTGAGACGATAGCGCATTTCATGTGTTTAGGCCCTAAAAGTGTGTATTCCGTTTGGGATTTAAACACATTCCTAAACATGTTTTGTATGTGTTTACGTTTCAAACAAATCTTTCTAGTGTCTACCCGTGTGGCCTCGGGTTAAAATACAATATGTCACCAACACTCTATTGCTGGTCGCACGCTGTGATAAAAATCGATTGATCGTTTGGCTCGATAACTTGGTTGATTAGGGCGGTCGGGTAGCCTAGTGGTTAAAGCGTTCGCTCGTCACGCCGAAGACCCGGGTTCGATTCCCGACATGGGTACATTGTGTGAAGCCCATTTCTGGTGTCCCCCGCCGTGATATTGCTGGAATATTGCTAAAAGCTGCGTAAAACCATAGTCACTCGCTCACTTGGTTGATTACGTGGCATCGTGCCCCGAGGACGTAGGACGTTGCTCATGCTATCAACCACGTGTTTATTTGCCCCAGTCAAACAACATTCCCTCACTCATGATTAAATAGAGGTAGTTGCTTAACTTATGTTTAGGTGTATATATCCTCTGTAGTGAAAGCTGTGGTGATCTTGTTGAGTCTTGAAAGTTTTAGGAATCAGTTGATTGATTAAAGTGTATTTAAAACACATATGTATAATAAGAAATTTTGTTTTCATTCCCCCTTTTAAAAACGTGCAGCAAAGCATTTCATGCATCGTTCGTAATTACAAATATCCCGTTTTTAAATATGAAAGAAAATGAGTAAATATCTTGGATCACTTCACACCAATTACGTTTTAACCTCAAACAGCACGACGTTTTTCACAGCTAATGCGTATTCGGTGTGTTAAACACTTCAAGTAACTGTGTGTTGTACCATCTTCTCATTTGACTCGGTAAAGATTCGTGCTACAAAAGTTCTTCACTGACCAGAGCATACATGAGTGTGTCTCAAGTCAATATAAGATGCACGATAACGAAGTGTGAGTGAGGGAGTGAGTTTGGTCAAAGTAAACTGACGTCCAAAAGAAACTTTACCAGAGTTTGAAATCACTCTTGCTCAAAAACAACAAAACATACATGCATGAAGTAAAGTGTATTGAGAAGATCAATATATCAACATAATCAACACTGAAAATGACAATCATACCGCGACCGAGAATGACGTCAGAGCCCCCCAAATTTGGGTGTGGTACAAAACTCGAGCTTTCAGAATCATGGACAATAGGCAGAGTACATAAACAATCGCTCACGTTTAATAACAAGTCATTAGTAGCGTGTGTGACCACCAAACACGCAAAAACTCTTCAACGCACAGAAAAAGTCAGTCGTCTGATGAGGTCACGTGGGATTTGACGCCATTCTTCTTGGAGGGCCAAGATCAGTTCTTGCCGGTTGGCTGGAGAGTGTGGTCGTTGTCGAACACGACGATCCATTAAGTCCCAGAGGTGTTCTATGGGTGACATGTCGGGTGAGCGTGCAGGCCACGGCAGGACGTTGACGTTGTTGGCTGCGAGGAAGTTAGTGACAATTCTGGCTGTATGGGCTTTAGCGTTGTCATGCTGATAAATGACACCACGTGGCTGCTGTTGGAGAAATGGTAGGACAACTGGACGAAGAATGTTATCCATGTAACGCTGAGCTGTCAGTTTTCCGTCAACGATGACCAGCGGTGTCCTCTCCTGCCCACAGATCCCTCCCCACACCATGACACTCCCTCCACCATATGGTACGACCTCCTGCACGCAACACGCCGCCGTTCGTTCACCCCTTCGGCGGTAAACACGTTGTCTCCCATCAGCCATAAACATACAGAATCGACTTTCGTCAGTGAAGACAACCCTCTGCCAGTCACGTCGCTGCCAACGTCGTACAGTCCGGGCCCATCTCAATCGCAGACGACGATGTTGCCCTGTTAATAGCTGTCCTCTGTATGGTCTAAAAGCCCTGATTCCATGAGCCCTGAGTCTCCTGACCACTGTCTGTCGACTAACCCTGTGACCTAAGGCATTTGTCGCCGATGACGTCACTGTCAGGAAGCGATTTCGGAGGTGCAAGGTACGCAAGTACCGGTCATCATAGGGCGTGGTCACCCTGGGTCTGCCTGTTCTTGGCCTGTCAGCGGTCCGCCCTGTCTGTCTGTAACGTTGCATCAAGTTGGTAACGGCAACACGGGAGCAACCGAAGGTTCGTACAATATGGGCGTGGCATTTCTTTTGTATTTTTTATCACTGAGGATGTCTTGCCGTTCCACTCGTTTTATACCCTTACCCGCACGTGCATTTTCTGTTGTCCGTGGTGCATGTGTTTTTCACTTTTTCGCGTGTTATCCCGCAAACATGTAACAGACGATTAACATTTTCTGCAGTCACTATTGTTGTATTTAGGCTATGTGTTTTAGTGAGTGAGTGAGTTGGGTTTTACGCCGCTTTTAACAGTATTCCAGTTATATCGCGGCGTGGCAGCTTAATGTGGGAGGAAAGCCCGAAGTGACTATGTATTTTAGATAGACTTTATCGAAAAAAATTGTATACTTTGTCTGAAATTTATATTTTCAGTTGGTAAAGTTTCTTTTGGACGTCAGTTTATTTCAATCATTTCACGGTGTGTAAACTTAATGTGAGAGGAAAGCCTAAAGGGCTACAGATCTAAGATCTTAGATGTTTGCCCTTAGGGTTATATGGTGCTGGTAGATCAAACATCATAAAAGTCCACGACTGAAATATCAGATCGAACCTCTCCTCTCTGAACATTAGCCATGGTAATCATGACGAGTTGTGGAAAATAAAAACCTTACATATGAAAATTCTTGTTACTTTAAAGAAAATCCGAAACACCAAATGCACTTCCTCCCAAGATTTCAAAGAGCATCATAGGGCTCTTGCTCTAAAGATGTTGTTTTGATCAAGGTTCCAACATGTAAGGCCTCAGTAAAGCTTTCAAAAAGTGTTATGGGAGACATGTGGAGGACATTTCTAAATCTGACGTACGTATCAGTGACGAAAATGGTGTCCGATGCAGTTCCCTAATTTGACTTGTACCATATGTTCCCGTGTTTTTCAGGTGAACATTTGACTTGCCTTTGCATGTGTTTGTGACGGGTGCCACCGATGGGGCAGGATACGCTCACATCTTCGCGAACACCTAGTAGCATCACAATTTGACAGTGATTTTTAAACACATGCTCATTATTAAGTCGGAATAGTACAATCGACTGATTTTGACCCAGATTTCTAATTCATATGGAAAAGATGTTGTCACTTTTATTTATTGTAATAGTTATGTCGCTATTTCAGTGATATTTCAAGAATCACTTTTTCGAAAGGATTACTTTAAAACTACAAACAGATGCAAACGCCATTACTGACATGTTTTTAAGTATAATTACAAAAAACATGACGTCATTAATGACTTCAGAACTTTTATAGAGTGCAATTAGTTCTTGGGGTAAACTGCTTACTACGATTCCACAACACAAATACATATTCCTGGTGCTTGTTAGAGCTCCCCCTTTATGTCTAAATTCCCGCTAGGGTGGTTTGAAGCAATGGGAAGATGTTTCGTAATGGGCAATAATAACGGGGACGTATTTTTTCTCTGTGCTTAAAGGTTTACGCAGAAAGCTTCAGGTACGCCTCAATGCCGTTGG